ACCTACTGATATAACCAACATCACCCACACGGAGCAGGCCCTTCTCACGCCGCGACCACATCCACATCAGGGGACATCACCTGCTGATATAACCAACATCACCCACACGGAGCAGGCCCTTCTCACGCCCCGACCACACCCACCTGAGGGGACGTTAACTGCTGGAGTGACCAACATCACCCACACAGAGCAGACCCTCCTCGTGCCCCGACCACACCCACCTCAGGGGACGTTACCTACTGGTGTAACCAACATCGCTCACATGGAGCAGACCCTCTTCACGCCCCAACCACATCCACCTGAGGGGATGCAGCGTCACCTGCTGGTGTTCCTGCCCCAAAGGCTTCACCCAACTCTCATCACGAGGACAATCACTTCTCCAAGTTGAAGGATAGTTTACCAAATCAAAAAGGTCAACCTTCCAAAAGACCAAGAAAAACAGAGCCCTAGAAATGCTCTAGGTTACTGACAAGTCGGGACAACTAAACAGAGCATATGAGCCGTAGTTGAACTCTGAATTGAACCAAAAAGGTCCCGAAAGAGCGCTGGAACAGCTGCAGAGATCTGAGTATGTTCAACACAGTCGCCAGCTACTAAATTTGTCAAAGTGAACGCCCAGGTGTGGCCATTGCCTCGTGCGTAGGTGGGAGGATGCCCTTGCTCTTGAGAGAAGGTGCGTGCTGGCGCGTGGGGGCCGTGGGGGCCACCACAGCAAAGAGAAGGAGTGCAGCCAAGGTGTCCCTGCTCCCCTCTCTGACTGACCAGTGAAGGGCATGCGGGCCTCTCTTGTGCTATCCTGACATTGTCTGTGGGTCTGGGGTTTGAAACGATGGAAGAGAACAAGGACTCAGCGTCTTGACCACTCAGCACACGTTCTTTGTTTCTTTCTGAACTCTTCTCCTGCAGCGATATTCTTAATTTTATCCTAAGCCAGTGTCATCAGGGAGACAGCCCTGGAGGACCGAAGCTCAGCCATTCTGCCACAGGCAGGTCCATCCCTCTGCTACTCAGTCACATGCCCTCCAGGGCCTCCACCCAGAGAAGGGACAGGCGTTCTGTCTCTACCGTGGGACTGCTGCCCTGGACACCGGTATTCACATCAGAGCCGAGAGGCCTGGTGGGTGGTCTTTGTTGAGCTGAGATGTGGTGGGCGGTTCTCAATGAGCCAAGATGCCCGGAGGGCGGTCCACATTGGGCCGAGATTCCCGGCGGGCGGACCACGTTGGGCCGAGATGCCCAGTGGGTGGTCCGCGTTGGACCGAGATGCCCGGAGGGCGGGCCGCGTTGGGCCGAGATGCCCGGTGGGCGGGCCGCGTTGGGCCGAGATGCCCGGAGGGCGGGCCGCATTGGGCCAAGATGCCCGGTGGGCGGGCCGCGTTGGGCCAAGATGCCCGGTGGGTGGTCCGTGTTGGGCTGAGATGCCTGAATGGGTGGTCCACGTTGAGATGCCCAGTGGGCGGTCCACGTTGGGCCGAGATGCCTAGTGGGCGGTCCACATTGGGCTGAGATGCCTAGAGGGGGTCCATGCTGGGCTGAGATGCCTGGCCAGTGGTCCACATTGGGCCGAGATACCCGGCGGGCAGTTCATGTTGAGATACCCGACAGGTGGTCCACACTGAGCCGAGATACCTGGTGGGCCGTCTGTGTTGGGCCGAGAGGCCTGGCCGGCGGTCCGTGTTGAGCTGAGATGCAGTGGGTGGTCAGGTGGCAGGTCTGGAAATCAAGAGAGAGGTCACAGAACTGGGGTGTCGTCAGTGCCCTAAATCTTCAGAAGGGGTCAGATTGGCGAGAGTGAAATAAGCTGAGAGGCAGCCAGGACACACCCGTGGGACGTGAAAGTGGACTGACAGGGTGGTCAGAGGCGGGAGGAAGCAGGAGTGTGGGCTCTGGGTGGCCAGAGAGGCCCTTAGCTCACCACCTTGTCAGACACAAGAGGCCAGGGAGGAAGGGTGACTGGCAGCGTCCATGAGCACCACATTGGGCGCGGCACCACGCTGGGCATGAGCACGCTCAGTGGATGGAGGGTCAGAAGCCAGGTGGGGATGGCTGAGGAGTGACACAAAAATGTGAGGAGGGGTTGGCACCAGCCCCCTCTTCATGCCCCCTTCCCTGTACAGACTTGTTAGGATACCTGTGGCCTGTACTGCACTTCTCAGTGCCTGGCGCACAGTAGGTGCCTAAAGAATGTGTCCTACACACCAGTCTGCCTCCTTCCCCGCCTAGATCCGCTGACACCGGCCCCTCAGCACCGCAGACGGCGCCAGCAGCCGTCGTGTTGGGGAATGACAGGAGCTGGCTGGCCTTACCAGCTGCCATCGAGTTGGTTCTGACTCGTGGCGCCTCCACGTGTCAGAGTAGAACTGTGCCCCATCGGGTTTTCAGTGGCTGATTGTTTTGGAAATAGGTTGCCAGGCCTTCTTTCCAAAGTGTCCTTGAGTGGACTTGAACCTCCAGCCTTCTGGTTAGCAGCTGAGCTTGTGAACCGTCTGCATCACTTATAGGATGAAAGCACCTGTGGGAGCCACCCATGGTCGCTTTCTGAAACACGGAGGCTGACCGGCCTCCCCCAACACCCTGGTGGCCTTGGGTCTGCCCGCCCATCACCGTCCGCTCTGCATTGCAGATCCTCCCCAAGCCGAGCGAGCCGGCCCGGCAGCCCGAGAGCCACCCCGAGGAGACGGAGGAGGAGCTACGGGAGCACCAGGCCCTGCTGGAGGAGCCCTACCTGGACCGGCTGCCCGGCCAGAAGGGGGCGCACACGCTGGCCGGTGTGCAGGTGAAGCAGGAGCCCGCGGAGAGTGACGAGGAGGAGGCTGAGCCCCCGCGGGAGGCCGAGCCCGGCCAGCTCCAGGCCACTGAGCAGGAGCTGCTCTTCAGACAGGTAGGTGGGGGGTAGTGTCCTGGGTGGTCACTTAACCCACGGGAGTCTCCTGGGAGGCGTGGGGGTCCATGTGGTTTCCGTTCTGTTTTGCACTGGCCATGCATGCACCTGGCCATGTGGGGCACTGGGGGTGCGTGCACCTGCTTTCCAGTCAAACTCAGACCCCCGGGTGGTTTTCTGTCGGGTCCGTAGACTGCACAGTACCACAGAGTCCACACACTGACGGGATTCAGCATGGCCGCTAAAGGGGGAAAGGGGTATTGATTTATTCATTGATCAGAAAGGGAGGCAGGGTCTGCCCAGGCACCACAGAGGCTCTGGGGCCCAGCCTTACAGATCCGGAACAACGACGTGTTAGGTTACTGGGAAGTGACACACACTAACCAAACTCACGAGAGACTGATGCACAAATTCCGTCAAAGGTTTATTAACTTACAGTGAAAAATAAAAGACTGCCAAGCCCATACCAACGCATAGGACAGCTGGCCAGGGAGCAGAACCCTATACGAGAAGTCACAGGGGCGTCAGGGAAGCCGTTTGTCACCTGCTACGCAGGAAACCAGAGCCGAGGGTGCTGGCAGACGCCGTCTGAGGCTCCTGCAGCAGGGGCAGCTCCAGCAGGTGCTGCATCTGGGGCACAGGCCCTGCCCGTCCCTTCCCACTGGGCTTCCCCTTGGCTGCCCAGCTGTCTGCACGCCTCCTGGGCCCCACGACCACCCAGCGGGAGGCCCCACCACTCCCCACCTCCCTAGCTGCACCTCTGAAGACAGGGGCTACTGTTTACTTTTATAACATCCTCCCCACTGGACGCAGCGACGTAGAGCCTTGCTCCCCGGCCTCCAGCCCAGTGCCTGGCCCATGCCTGCCACACGCACCCTTAGGCCATAGGTTTCACCAGAGGCTTTGCAGTCAGAGCAGACCGCACGGTGCCGGTCGCCCCAGCTCCCTCCCCACACCTCGGGGGAGGCACCACAGGGCCAACTGACATCACGGCTTCTGTCTCTCAGAAGACACCTCGCCTCGAATTTCTGGGGCCACTTTATTAACACCCCCGCACCAAAACCACCAGTCTGTGAAGTCCTGTAGGCGAGACCCAACACTAAATGGAAATGTCCCAACAACAGGAGAGCCGCGTCCCCTCTGCAGCCCCCAGAACCCTGCTCCGAGGGGCCTCTCATCGCATCCGATGAGGCCGCGGCAGGCTCCCATCCGCGTGCCTGTAGGGGGGCCTGGAAGCAGCTGAAGGGAGCAGACCTCTTATTACACCTGAGACCTGGTGTGCTGTTGTCCTGCTGACAGGAAATTGGCAAGTGCTTATGTGTAATCGTTAGCACCAGCGTCGTGGAGATGACGGAACCATCAGCATTTATTGAGGAAAATTAGCCTTGTATTCCAAGTGCGAGACAATTATTAGAAACACTTATTTTCTATAGTCTTTTGAGAATAGTAAACAGAATTCCTTATCAGAGGAACGTGGTGGTACGTGTGGCATTTGCAAAGAAAATTTAAGATGAGGTATCCAATTTTTGAAGATGATGCGTACACCAAGGGAGAGAACGCAACAATCCAAATTCGTTGCTGTCAAGTCATTGCCAACTCGTAGCAACCTTACAGGACTGAGTAGAACTGCCCCATAGAGGCTCCAAGGAGTACCTGGTGGATGCAAACTGCCAACCTTTTGGTTAGCAGACGAGCTCTTAACCACTACGCCACCAGGGGAGAGTTGTAAATGATTAGGTTTTATTAAGCTGAGTGGGGTCCCTTCAGGGTTTGAGATGACCGGTATTATTCTCTCTGTTGCGGTCGAGTTGATCCCGACTCATGGCGACCCCATGTGTGTCAGAGTACAGTTGTGCTCCACAGGGTTTTCAGTGGCTAATTTTTCGGAAGTAGATCTCCAGGCCTTTCTTGCAAGGTGCCTTGGGGTGGACTCTAACCGCCAACCTTTCAGTTAACAGCTGAGCATGTTAACCATTGCACCACCCAGGGGCTCCTGAGTTAGAGACACACTCTGTCGATGAAGCCAAAGGCAGGGAGCCCTCAGAGAAGGGAGGCCCTTGTTGGGGTGGGGGTCCCTACTCCTGCCGGGCTCTTCTGGAAGGAGGTGGCTTCAGGCTCCCCCTCAGGCAGCTCCCCCCAGTTTCCTTCAGTGTTGTGAGGGCCCTCTGCCTCTGCTCCTCTCTGGCCCTGATTCCTGAAGGCAGGAAAACTGGGCACCTGGACAGAGCGGCCTCTCTCTAGGCTGGGGGCACAGAGCATCCTGTCCCCACCTGGGCTCACAGCTGATGCCCTGTCCCCACCTGGGCTCAGAGCTGTCGTCCCTACCCAGGCTCACAGCTGACACCCTGTCCCCGCTTGGGCTCAGAGCTGACGTCCTGTCCCCACCTGGGCTCAGTGCTGTCATCCTGTCCCCACCTGGGCTCACAGCTGATGTCCTGTCCCCGCTTGGGCTCAGTGCTGACGCCTTGTCCCGACCTGGCTTCGTGCTGTCGTCCTGTACCCACCTGGGCTTAGAGCTGACGTCCCCACCAGGGCTCACAGCTGTCGTCCTGTCCCAACCCAGGCTCACAGCTGACATCCACACCTGGGCTCAGTGCTGTTTGACGCTCTGTCCCCACCTGGGCTCCGAGCTGACGTCCTGTCCCCATCTGGGCTTAGTGCTGTCATCCTGTCCCCACCTGGGCTCACAGCTGACGTCCCCACCTGGGCTCACAGCTGACGTCCCCACCTGGGCTCACAGCTGACGTCCCCACCTGGGCTCACAGCTGACATCCCCACCTGGGCTCACAGCTGACGTCCCCACCTGGGATCAGAGCTGACGTCCCCACCTGGGCTCACAGCTGACGTCCCCACCTGGGCTCAGAGCTGTCGTCCCCACCTGGGCTCAGAGCTGACGTCCCCACCTGGGCTCACAGCTGACGTCCCCACCTGGGCTCACAGCTGACGTCCCCACCTGGGCTCAGAGCTGACGTCCCCACCTGGGCTCACAGCTGACGTCCCCACCCGGGCTCAGAGCTGACGTCCCCACCCGGGCTCAGAGCTGACGTCCCCACCCGGGCTCACAGCTGACGTCCCCACCCGGGCTCAGAGCTGACGTCCCCACCTGGGCTCACAGCTGACGTCCCCACCCGGGCTCGCAGCTGATTCCTGTCCCCACTTGGGCTCAGAGCTGACGCCTTGTCCCAACCTGGGCTTAGTGCTGTCGTCCTGTCCCCACCTGGGCTCAGAGCTGTCGTCCACACCCGGGCTCACAGCTGGCACCCTGTCCCCACCCGGGCTCACAGCTGGCACCCTGTCCCCACCTGGGCTCAGAGCTGATGCCCTGTCTTCACCTGGGCTCAGTGCATCATCCCCTCAGGAGCTGGGGCTGCTGACCTAGTGCTCCAGAATGAATTGTGCCCGTTACACTGAGTCAGAACTGGAGGTGGAGCCCACAGGCAGGGGTGCTCTGCTTTCTCCTCCCTCTTGGGCCTGTGAAGTCGGACATCTCCTGGCCCAAGCACCTGTGATCACATGGGATCAGAGAGGGAGTGGTGTGCGAGTAGAGTAAAAGCTGGCATTCCTGCTTCTGAGATGCGCTTTCCCACTCTCCTCTGTGGCAGCAGACGACTTGCCGTTGTCGGTCAGGAGCATCCAGGAGAGCCCAGCGGGGCTGCAGGGCTTCTGCATAGCCTTTGCTCACTTTCTGCCTCAGCGGTGCAGCCCCCGTGAGCGCTGGTCCACTCTTGTGCCCATGCTCTCAAAGCCCACCAGGCTGGCCTTGGCCTGGCTTCCTGTGTGCTTCCCCGGCTTTTCTTCCTGCCCTGCTCCCCACCAGGAACACCCCACCACTACCCACTGCCCATTCCCAGCTACCACCGCCGATCTGTACTCTGCTCCTTCTCAGAGACGCCCCTGGGCACCCAGCTGGGTCCAGCCCTGCTGCACGTGGACTGAGCCCGTCCCCTGTTGTCATTAGGAAGCCCATCACCCAAGTCTTCACTGAGTCCATCTTCCCACTAGAATGTAGGGTCCTTAAAGGCAGGGGCTGTGTGTGCCTATTGTCTGCTTGTACCCCCTTAAAGCCTGGCATGGGGGGGGCAGGTATTTCCCACATCACTGCACACCCTGGAAACCTGTGCTCTGGGCACACAGAGGTGCAGGACAAGCCATCTGCCAGCTGGGGGCTCCTTCTGGGCCTCTGGTGGCCCTGCCCCTGCTGGCTGCCCAAGAGCTGCAGGGCCAGCCTCCTGTGCACTCAGGGATGGATGGATGGATGGGTGGGTGGATGGATGGATGGATGGGTGGATGGATGGATGGATGGATGGATAGGTGGGTG